AAAAATAGTTTGATAGCACAGAACATACCTAATGCTGGATTCTGGACATTATGCTCCTTCAACGGGCATTCTGACAATCCCAACTCAAAATTTTTGAGTGTTTAATCTAAGTTTAATTCAATGAGTGCAAAGCGAGTGTAGAGCCTCCGCCCGCACTGCTCCAACGTAAACTAACAATAAACTATCACTCACCTTACTCTGGCTGTGTTTGCTGGAACGAAACGCAACGAAGAGGTTAGGACCTTTCCCATCTTTGAAAAACAGTACTGCACATTTACTATGCACTCGTTAACCAAACGTAATCTATAGACACACTTTCACTCTTTAAAATACGAACTAAGAAGTAATAAAAACTAATGCTTGCAAAACCACAAAACAGCTGATGCGGCAGCCATGCTGACGCGACGCACGTCACAGGATGTTGTAGTTGTAGTCGTGTGTGCTCTCCAGTACTACCAACTCATGAATGGAAAAAATACAGTGTACTGGAGTGTCAACATCGGCGTTTAGTTCGAAAGGTTAAACATTTGAGGAAAATGAAAGGTATATTTTGTCTCGTGAAGACTGAGATAAAGAAAAAGCAGTAGTATTTTCGATATGAGCAGTGTGTTAGTTTGTCACACTGGTTATGCGTAAGTTGGTGTCTCGCGGAGAGTGTGAGTGTGTGGCGGACAGGGCGGGCATTCCCTCAGCATCTATCCATGTATCTTGTATCGTCTGCCCCTGGGCTGTTCAGGGGCCTGTCGACGTGATTCTTTGCCTAGAAGTTGCCGCTGCCCTCCTCAGTCTCCACGGGACTAGATCCACTTCTTTCGTATGTATGCACCTGAAGAAGGGCTGTAAGGATTAATTTTTTCTCGTCTTTGCACGGTAAAAAGAATGTCTTGAAATCCCCGGAAATTTCTAGGATTTCAAGGTTGGGTGGATAATTTCAAGATTGGCCCTTGAAATCCTAGACTCTGCCTTGAAACCCGTAGCTTCCAAGGAAAATCCTCGGAATTTGTGTTTGGTATGCCGACCATGTTCCTCAACTGCTCATGTTCATTTGTCCCCCCACCCCCACCCCACCCAAAAAATTCGCTCCCCCTGCCGCATCATGTGCGTCAAAAACCTCAAGGCTGACGCCATCTGGGGTTCCTCTTCGAACTGTCGGCCAGGGTGGTGGTGGCGGCGGCGCGCGTTCGCCCTAAACGTCTCACCGCCTGCCTGCCTCCCCGCGACTCGCTCTCTCGCTCGCTCTCTCGCTCGCCCGCTCCCCTGGGCATACTCGCTACTCCATCTCCCTCCCTCCTTGGCGCCACCGCCACGCCGTACCTCCCCCGATCGCTTACCCCTCGCCGCCGCCGACCCGACCGCAGTTCCTGGCCGTGTCCCTCGGCCGGCTTCGCTCCCTCCCTCCTCCCTTCCAACTGCCATCGAAATATCCCTGAGTAAATAGCTCACAAATAGGGTTCTTTTGTGGCGCTTAACGCAACGTTTGGGGAAGCCCCACCCTGCTGCAGGGCCTCTGCCGCCGCCACCCTTGCAGCCCTCCCTCCCCCGGCCGGCGCCGCCCGGCTCGCGCGCGCCGGGATGGCAAACATTACATTGCTCCGTGCTCATTGATTGCATTTCCGGGATGCAATCTTGCGGCGCTGATTTGATTCATCTCGAAGCACACCAACCATACCGCCGCGCCTCGCCGCTTCTCCTTTTCGCTCGCCGCGCGGAGTCTGCAGCACGGGGGAGTGGCGTGGCGCGTGGGCCAAGTAGACTTCTTTAATTCAAAGCCTACGGCCGCCGAAACATGATTGACATGATTGCCAAGGAGAGGGTGAGGGGGAAAGTTTTGAGACTGAAAGGTAAACAAGTTTTGAATAGTGTGGACGGCCCCATGGTAACCTCGTTATAAAGTGTGCTTCCTCTCCATGCAGCACCGAGCAGAGAAGTCGTGTGACCCACCGCCGCCTCGCGGCCCGCCCGTCTCGCGCCTCTCTCTCCCTCGCACCATCCTCTCTGGTTATTTTTCTCCCTCGCTCTCTCTCGCTCTCTCCCGCTCCCACATGCTCGCTCACAATAATTTTCAAAGAGGCCGAGGGAAAAGGGTTCCACGCCGCAAATAACGCAGAATTACGCCCGAGCTGACTTGCAGGGCCACTTTAAGAGTGCGGTTCGGCCAGAGGAATGCCTCTCCAGAGGCCGCAGACGGAGGATAATTGCCCCTTAACCTAGCCCACTCGCGCTCCACAGGTGAGAAGTTGGCCCGCAGGGGCGGCGCGAGCCGAGCAGGGCGGAGCAGGGCAGAGCGAGAGAGGAGAATATTGTGATTTGCATCCCGACAACTTTCCTCCTCTTCGCCCCGCGGCGGCGGCCCCGGCTGGAGCCCCGGGCGCGCCAAAGGCGTGAATAGAGGATCTAGGAGCCTAACAGCACAGAAATCCGGTAAACGAGCAACTCTACGCTTTTATTATTGTAGTCGCTACGTGGACGGTGAGGTGCAGGGGTGCAGGCATACCCAGACTGCACCCCGTTGCCCGCGTTTCCAAGTTCGCATCAAACCCAGTATGTGGGGGTCGTGGTGCTGAAGAGGGCCGCACCGAGCAGCGGGATGGACTTGCCGTGCTTCGTCTTCGGGCCGGGGAGGACCTTGCCGGCAGCGAGTCCGGGCTCTCTGGCGAGGACGTCGGCCTCCTTGATGAGCTCCTTGGCGTTGAGCGTGACGGTGTTGTCGCCCTTCTTGCTGTGCACGTGCAGCACGATCTCCAGCTTATTGAGGCTCTTGCCGACGACCTCGAGCGCAATCGTGCTGCCGGCCTCCACCTTCCCCAGGTGGCCGGCGATCACGCTGAGGGGGATCACGTGTGAGACGCCGTCCTGGGTGACACGGAGCTGGCGGCGGCGGGCCGCCTTCTGTTTCTTCTTGTCCGCGCCGACGCCGTCGGCCCAAGACAGGCTCTTACCGTTCCACACGAGCCCAGAGGACGAAGAGGACTTCTTTTGCTTCTGGCTCACCTTATTGTTCTCCTGGCTGCTATGCTTTTCCTTGGTGTGACTCTCGAGAGCGACAGAACGGCCCGACGCGTGACTCTTCTCACCGCTGCTCGAGTTCTCGCTCTCCTTGGCGAGGCTCGACTTGTGGTGGCTATTCTTACTTTGGCTCTCCTTGCTGTGGCTCGACTTGTGGTGGCTCTCCTTGCTGTGGCTCAACTTGTGGTGGCTCTCCTTACTGTCGCTCGACTTGTGGTGGCTCTCCTTGCTGTGGCTCAACTTGTGGTGGCTCTCCTTACTGTCGCTCGACTTGTGGTGGCTCTCCTTGTTGTGGCTCGAATGGCTGTGCTTCTCAATCAGCTTGCTCACCAGGATGGACACGCTCTTTTTGGAGTCCTCCTTGTGGTGCTTGCCGAGGACGTGCAGGACGATCCTCAGGTTGTTCCACGAGCTGCCGAGCACCTCGGCGTGGACTTTGCTGCCGGCGGGGGCGTGGCCGAGGTACTTGGCCAGGGCCTTGAGCGTGACAGCGTGGTGCTTGCCGTTGTGGTCGAATGTGAGGAGTTCGCCGTCGCTACTGTCGCCGGCCTTCGGGTGCTTCCAGGAGAGCTTGTGCCCGTCCCAGATAAGCGGGCCGCGGTGGCCGGCGCCGGTGCCGTGGGGAGCGCCGAAGGTGATGATCTTCACCACGCCGACGCCGCCGCCGGGGAGCTTGAGGTCGTACACGGTCTGGTGCTGCGGCAGGCGGTGCGACCAGCGGAACAGGTGGCGCGCCCAGAGCGTGCTGGCCGCCCACGCCCGGTGCACCTGGCGGTTCAGGTCGGCGAGGAAGCGGTCCAAGTCCCAGCCGAACACGACAAAGCGGCGGGCCCTGCCGTGGTGGTCCATGCCCTGCTGTCCCGGGGGGTGTCCAGACGACGGCTGTGGCGCGGTGGGCGCGGCCAGCGCGACACACGACAAGGCCAGCGCCGCGAGGACGACGAGCAGAAGGGTGGGGACCCGCATCGTGGTGGGGTACCTGCCGGATGGGATCGGGGCGCTATGTGAGGGGTTGTTGTCGGGCCGGCCGGAGCAGTGTTGGTAGCGGTCTTTTGTGTTGAAGCGTTTCCTCACCGGAGTCACGTGATGCAGAGCGCTGTGCACGCTAAGGAGGACGGGGCCGGAATGCGCGAGGCTCAGCACGGTGGCAGTCGCCAGCAGCTGCGGCAGCGTGCACCGCGTCACGACCAGCGACAGGTGTGGCGTCGGTAAAATATGAGCAACGTGCACGAGTTCGTCTTAGTTATCATTAGCGGCTCTCATGTCGACAAACAGCTCAGTCAACAAGTCGGCCATAGAAAATATATGATGACTGATCAGTCGTGGTATGTAGTGCTAGGCTACACGCTCAAGTGTTGCGGGTTTGCATACTCTGCAAAAGTACTTTGTGGCCTTACTCCTTTGTCCCTACTTGTAGCTACACAGTTTTGTAGCTACAACCGACATGTTAGTTACATTCACAAGGAGGGAAAGGGAAACGTGTAACTTCGACAGGAAAAGAACGAAGTCTCCCGCTCAACCACTCAACCCGTTGTAACGAGCAACGCGAAATTCAAGATTTCAGAGGACGGTAGCCCCAGAAGCGCTACTGCATTAGTTGCGCTTCAATGCGCATTGAAATGCACATAAAAGGTCACACATTGGTGACGCATTAAATGCGCGTAGAGTGCATTAAATGCGTTTTTAATGCGTCACCAATGTGTGACCTTTAATGTGCATTTTAATGCGCATTGAAGCGCATTTAATGCGGTTGGCGCTACTGGGGAGCGGGGGGAGCGGGAGGGGATTTGGTTCGAAATTGTTTTGCCTCTATCTCGATGTGTTGTAAAGCTAGTGAAGTTGAGGCCATCCTGTCCTGTTTGTTTTAGGTTAGATGGAAGCTGGCTGTCGGAACTCTTCCTCTCTCGAGATGTGCAAGCCGTTTCTTACAGAGATTCATATTTTTCCTTTGTATACACTTACATCTGATACAAACATTTCAACATTTGATGCTGTTGCTGTTGTAAACAACAACCGTCGCGTCGACTGCTACTGTTGTTGTTGTTGTTGTTGTTGTTGTTGTTGTTGTTGTTGTTGTTGTTGTTGTTGTTGTTTCTACTGTTTCTGTTTCTGCTCAAAGAAAACGCACCCTGAGAGAGAAATACTGGAATTTGGAAATATTCGCCTCACTGATTTTCGCTCACGGCTGGGTATATTGTGGTCTTTGCATCCTTCAGCACAAATCTGGTTTACTGCAAAAAGACTAAACGAAGAAAGTCGTTCGAGGTACGTAAACTCTAAACACTTTCATTTTAACCTTGCAACCGATCATTGCACCGTAACCTAACCTGCCACAAAAATGAAGCAGCGTTTGAATTAATATCTATTCAGTTTCTTTCAGATGGATTTAGAGGAAATAATGTGTGTTCCACTAAATTTTCTCCCAAAGTTTGTGGCCTTTAAAATACTAAGTGCTGAAAGAATTGACAATTTGACCAAGCCTGGGACTAAAAACAATATCTTAGTCTTGCAATTTGCAACATTTATTAAATTGCAAATCTACGCTGACAGTACATACCAGCGTTTTACAGCAGCAATGGTAAAAGCATTCAATGATGACATAAAGTCAGGAAACAAATGGTATGTCATACGGATCAGTTCGGATGGAGACAAGTTTATTGCTGCTAAATTAATGACTGAAGAAGAGGTAAATCATAACAAATTTCAAATTTTTGATGGTATGTATGTTATTGTAAGACTTAGTGAAATTCCTGCACAGAGTATACCACAAACTTATAGGAATTTAGTTTCCAGCTAAAATTCATGCTTTATTTTAATAAAAAGCGAGGAGTCCCATTAGTGCAAGAAATCAAAGTTCATTTTGTATAGAAATGAATCACACATATGTTTCCGTTATTGTTTTTTGAATTAAAGTTTAAAAATGTATTTCCAATGTGTTTTCTTTTAATAGAAACAAAATAACTTTATATATTATTGAGCTTACATTTGTCACATGATGTATAATGATTTTGCATTTACCTTAAAGTAACATTTAGAGTCGTCAGATTTTAACAATAACAAAACAATATCATGCTATAAAGACTGTATTGAACTTCTACGAACGCTAATTCTGGCACACCGACCGGAGAGTATGTTGGGCTGTCTACGCATTGGCTGCAGGCGCTGTAGGGAACAGACCTTAGGCTATCTAAAGAAGGGGCAGAGAACGTCGATGCGGGATGATTCGCGCGTTGCATGACCTCTCGGGTAAGCAGAGGTGCAAGCAAAGCGGTTCCAAAGCAGATGTTCAGTAACAAGCTAGTTACTTGTGTATAGTCAGTTACAATATTGTACCATCATAAACCAGTTAAAAGCTCACAAAAGCCTGGTGCTAGGTGCAATACTTCCCCCTAGACATTTTCAGTGTGGACGACGAACGTCCTCTTGCGCGACGCCCCCGCACTTAGGGGCTCTGGGCGGGCCGCCATCCTCACACACCTGCTTTGCGGGTTGGCCTACCCCGCGCGTCGCAGGGGGTCCCCGGTCGGATAAAGCTGCCTGTGGCCGTGTCGGTTGTAGCTACTAACAGGAACGTGGGGAGTAAGGCCACAAAGTACTTTGTGGAGTAGGCAAACCCGCCACACTGCGGCGTGCGCTTTAAAACACCCGGTACAGACTACTTCCCGCTAATCCCAGCCAGATATCACCTGTAAAGAAGTAGCCACATAAATTTACTAAGCTTCAGTGC